ACCTGAACGCAAGCCGCCTAGTATTAGGTACAGTATACCTTCCAACGCCGATCGATTTAACGACCTCGTCCCTCAGCTTAACTCGCCGACGAGTAAGGAAGACTCCGGCGTTCAGACAGGACTGGAAGACGACGTTGTGAACACGCACAGTCAGCAAGTCTTATCGGGTAGTAGTGCCTGGCGTTCTCGCTCTTCTACCCTCCCCTCCTTCCACGCCTCCTCTGTAGGAACTGAAGCTTACCTTACGACGCCTGAATCATCCTTCTTAGAATCAGACTGCTTAAAGTCTACCTGGAGCTTTCCAAGGCACAGCATTTATGAAGAGAAGTCAATCAGGCAGAAGGAGGCTCCCACAGAACGCTCGGCTGTCATGCCATTGGCTGCTGGGCGACCTATCTGTCCTCCACACCATTATACCGGCTTGGGCATGTTCCAGGGGCTTGCGCCGAAGATCTTTCGTTCAAACAGTCAGTCAAGTGAGTCACTTTGTTAATTATATTTCCTAGTTCACGGGAGTTAGCCATGTAGCTGAGGCCATATGTCCAGCCTCCGGCCGTGCATGTACAGATGGACATCTAGAAAATAAAATAAGGCATTGCGTCTAAAAGATTTGACCTCCGGATAGCTCTCTTATATCTGCCCATTATTTTGTGAATTGACGGAAACTGAATGACATGCAGGCAGTTCGATGAAGATATGTTCAGTGGGGTTTACCTGTTAAGCTTATTTGTCTAAGGGCTATAACTGCTTATGGGGTAAGATTGATCTCCAGGGGACTAAGTGTGGGTCACCAGGGCGCTCAGGGTTGTCCAAATTATGTTTTCTTATTCCTCACAGCCGTTTTGGCGAACCAATTCAACGCGCGAGCGCCAACTTTGACAAGGACTAGTGTTAATTGAAGTAATTATTATTCAATCGATGGGCCGAATTCATTACCCCTGAAAGGGTTAGAGGAATTTTATCTAAAAGGCTTGAAACGTGCGTCAGGGACAGTGAAGGAATTCCGTTAAAAGACATCTTTTCTCCAAGAAAATGAAACCCAATTTCTGGGAAGTCTCTGGGAAATGCAGGAAAAATGGGCATGCTCAACACTTTCTGTATTTAAACTATGCAACAGCAAGACCGCGTTAAAGTGGATATTGTCGCGCTCTTACCTTGTCGTCCTTATTTCTTTCGCTTGTGTTCACGCTCAGTAAACGGGACTGAAAAACTAACGTAACACCGTCCATCCGTATGCATTGAAACTTGCAAAAAAACTGACACATTTAAACGCTTTCTTGCACAGGCGGTACATGATCGCAAGGCGGTGAGACTATATCTGCCAGACCTTCAGTTTAGGAGGTTGCCTACCACCTATCCTAATTGACAGTAAAAACTAATGACGGTATTTGTTTTGCAGGTTACAACTGCTTCAGGAAATTTAGTATTTGCAAGTATCAGTTACCGTGACATTGCAAAGTTTGTAACTTCATTTTTTAAAGAGAACGACTTCTTTTATGCCCTCTCAGGGTTGTAAAATGCTTGATATGTATGTTTACTGCAAATAATTTCCAATCGCCTTAAAAAAGGACATCATGACGTGCATTAATTTTGACCTGCCTGACTGACAAATTCAACCGGGAGGATTCGTATTTAAGAGTAAAGCTACTTTTTAACTCTCACTAGAGGATTCACTATAAGGCTAATTAGATCGTGCATTATCCTTCAAAATATATTAAATAGTTTTGATCATTGGATTACGAGAGATGGCGAAAGCTGCAGTTTCCTCCGAGTTACATGCGGACGTGTGAATAGGTGAATTCGAGCCGTGACAAACACGACTCAGGTGACGAGTAGTCAAATCTAGAAAGATTTCAGGTAACGAGCTAGCCACTAACAGAAAATTCGTTTCGATTGACGGACTTCCGCTCAGTTAACGAGTTGTCAGTATGTGTGCTCGTGTGTCTGTGTCCGACATTGAGTCCTGTTCCCAGGGCGTGGGTCCTCGGTCGCCTGCAGCCAATCAGTGATCTGATGCAGTTCGGTTGGCTACATCTCGCAAGACGAGTGATTCACATGACGAACTCAGTGCCGGAACGGATTAAACTCGTTGATCGAGGTTCCACTGTACATACAACACTTTTGTGCACCAATGAGCTGCGTGCACAGGCTTATGACCGTCGCCTCTGGAGTTGCGGATAGGTGCTAATATAAAATCTCTCATGGTCTGTCGAAGTCTGGAATGTTTTGTTTAGGTCCACAAAAGGGTCATCAACTAACAGACGCTTGAGCATGTAGCTGTTAGAACAGGTTGAGCTATCTAATGAAATGGTAACCGTAATTCTGAAATTTATTTTTCGTTCCGAAAAGATTACTTAATTAGGTTAGTAATCTTAATTATCGCGTAACATAATCCCAAGCTGTTCTAGTCAAGCTCAGAAATCCGGCTTTTGAACTAGCTTCCACTTGGTCACTTCTATGAAGTAAATTATGCTGAAAATACTACTGAAGTAGTACGTATTTTTCAGCGCCCTTATAAATCTGAACACATGTCAGAGAAACTATGCATAAATGTATTTACTCTTGTACTCATTTGGTAAAAGCTACGTTCTCTTTAAATTTTATATTTGAAGAAAGGGTATTTTTCGGTTTTTAAATGTTTTCTAACTTTGCTACTCTTCAAGATCATGAAATTTCCATTCGTAATGCATCGTAATTGTCCATTTTCTAATGCTACTTACAAGGCAGCCAACTTGGTCCACATTCACATCTCGAAGGTAGACGCACAATGACTGGTAGGGTGGGCAGAATGAAATTATTAACCAAGACAAGGGGGATTAAAAGTACCATTTATTAGCCGCAATCAGTCAACCATGCCGAATCCTAGGCTCACAATCATTGAGGCTTGAAGCCGCATTCCGTTGATTGGAAGTTCCTTTTTCTGCCTGCAATATCTTTTCATGTTGCATCGCATTCGACACCGAGTATTCCGTCTACCGGTGTTTCCTTATAACTTTGCATGCACGCAACCCCCAAGACGGATGAAGTTGCTGTTGGGTTGTATCGTGACGATAGCCATACTGGCTAATGGTATTTGTTAGGCGGGAAGCATCATGTCTGCCGCACATGTGGGGTCTCTGGCACATCAGCGCTCACTCCGCGGACAGGCTCCAACAAGCCTCTGTTGTATGGGAGAGGAAACAGCGAACGAGGCTGACATTGACGTAGCCTTCCTCATGAAAAGGCAGTGCATTCGACGGCTGAATAAGCCTAACGCCTCTGAAATCAACACGATGCATCAAGAGTCGTGGTCTGAAAATTTACTTGTGAGGGGGACTTATATTGCCCCTCAAACAAGTTACGGGTAAATATTCACGTGTCAGAATCCTAACACTACCGTTAACGCCAACGGCAAAAGTAGTTTAAGTAGTGGACCTTCTACATTCCTAGCCCCAGCTACTTCCGGTGGTAGTAGGGGTTTTATGGTTGGGAAATTAGGATGGGCAGTTAAAAATTTTGTTGAAGTAACTGTATGGTGGTAAATCACATTCGTTGTAATCAGTGCGGCGTCGACGATGCGGTGCAGAATTATGCTGGAATATGTTTTAATAACTACCACACGCGTTTTAGATATTGATCCCACTGGTTCCTGACCCGTCACAAATTTACGTCTGGCTTTTTATTCAACTACCTCTTATTAATTAAATGCTGTTTTATGCTTATTTTTTTGGTTTACGCGCTCGAATCCCTGGCCATATAGTGGCCGTAGTAAACAAATTCAACCACATTTTAACAGTTTGCACTTAATTCGAAAAAATTCCTTCACTGCCTATCCTACTTCCTCACCCACAAAACACCGGTCCCGTACGACAGAATGCTAGGGCTTGGGGTGTATAGGATCCGCTACTTAAACTATCTTTGCCACACTGACCCTAACCTTAAGCCTAGCCCCTAAGCTAACTGTAACCCTTCTTTTCCGCCTGCCACCCGTATTGCGGAAAACTCCTGTGTTGATGTCCTGTTAAGGGCACCATACAAGTCATTTTGGTAGGATTGTGTCGTGGGGTCGTCTGGGGAAAGTGTGAAGCGCGCC